GAAGGGAGCAGCGGGAGAGACAGGCAAGGTCTGCTGTGTCATGTGGGATTCTCGCTGGCCAGCCGGGATTGAACCCGCATTGCAGAGGCTGCGGACAGCTTCACAGTGCTGTGCTCAACCCGCTGCGCCACTGGGAAGGCCCATAGTTTCCTTACTATAGCTTGTTCCTGGTGCACCAGTTCACCTAGTTGTTACCTCTGCCCACTCTCCCTCTTGGTGGCTCTTTTCACATTTGTTCTAAGAAGACAACAGAGGCAAAGGCCATAGAATTTTGAGTGAGAAAGAGTCCAATCAATTGGCGCAAGGGGTTAAGCACCACACTATGAAGCAATTTGCAGCCTCTGCAGCACTAGTTCAATCCCCAGCCGGCCAGGGAGCAACCACATGGTGCAGCAGACCTCTCCTGACTCGCCCGCTGCTCCCCTCAGCAGTGTACTTGAGTCACTCTGTTCTGTTCTGTTCTCCACTCTGTCTCTGGTGAATCCTCTCACCTCACGCATCTCTAGGCCTGTCCCCAGCTCTTGTATGCATAAATAAATAAATCTTAAAAAAAAAAAAAAAAGAAGAGGGGATACAAACACTGATGCTTCTTTTTCTTTTCTAAGAATCCATTCTTAGGATATATTCTAAAATATGCCTGCAGATATATATATTGTGGTTATTAAAAAGAGGGAAACATGGAATCATTTTAGATACAATAGCAGAATATCCATATGGCAGAATTTATAAAGGGTTATTGATGACACTAAGAACTACTATGACATATGAAACCTAGATTCAATAATATAAAGAGACATGGAAAAAAGATTGGAAGTAAACATGACAAAACATTAGCCGTGGTTGTTCCTAGGTGAAGATGATGGATTTGAAGGTATGTTTCTCTCTGGTTTTCTGGGCATTGTAAATTTCTATGGACTATTCTCCCATAGTCCATATTAGTTTTATGTCAGAAGAGACTAACATGTATGCTTTTAAAAATGAAAACTTTTAAGGGTGACAATAGTCAAGAAATATCTTGGGTAATATTAAATACAAAAATGCATACACCATGATAGTGACTGACATTATCGTCTACAATTTATTCTCAACACAGTAGCCAGAGTATCTTTTTAAAAGATTGAGAGGGGTGTACAGATCATGTCACTCCTTTACTCAAGACATTCCAAGACCTCATTTCCCTCTGAGTAGAAGCTGAAGTTCTTACAGGGGTCTACAAGGACCAATACAGTCTGCCCACAACTCCGACCTCCTCTCCCGACCCTGACTTTGCTCCCGTCAGAGTAATCTCCTTGCTGTTCATTCCTCATACCAAAAAGCACACCTACCTCAGGGCCTTTGCATTTACTGTGCCCTCTACTTTGGATGCTTTCTGTCCCAAAAGTCACAGAGTGTGTTTCTGATCTCTGCACAAATGTCATTTTATCAGTGAGTGCGTCCCTGACCCTCACATATAATAGTAACTACCCCTTGCACCCCTTCTCCTCCCTTTACCTTGAGTACTTTAACAGAAATTGTGACAAGGCAGATTTACTTTACTGTTTATGATCTCCTTTCAGCAAGAAGTGAGACTGTAAAGTCTCACAAACAGAGCGGCTGAAGCTCTCACCACTGCACTGCTGAAGAGCACCAAACAGGTGGCATGCCAACCTGACAGCCCCAGGGACTCACTCCAGAAAAACTACTTTCAAGTATAGCTAGAGATGATGGAAGTGAAGTGTCAAAAGGAAAGAAGATAAGAGTGTTTGGGCAGAGTGGAATAAGAGTTTCTATCAGAAAACTCAAGTTCTTCCATCAGGATGTGGCTTTTGCTGCAGGGCAGAATTCCAAATTTTATCACAGACTCAGAACCAGCTATATGTGACATTTTAAATGCTCTTTTTATTTAGCTCTCTGCTGTGATTAGATATTTTTCTAAAAACAAAAACAATAAATTAGGAAACCAGTCACCCACCTTACCACTCCCCCACCTCCAAAATAGGCAGGAAAACGCATCAACTGGGTTTGGTATCCCCAGGTCTCAGACTCAGACACACATACTTTCACGGGTCATCCATCCTACTGAAGGCCTACTGAAGGCCCAGTCTACCTGGGGCTGCAGAGGGGGAACGCAGCCTTCCTGATCTTACTAAGTTTTATCAGTCTCTGGAAATTCAAGGACAAACTGATAGCACAATGCACAGTCTCATATTCTTAGCCTTAAGAAAGATAAGAAAATTCATGCTAAGCTATTTTGGACTTTTCTGGGCACTGGAGTGCTCTGGAGATTAGGAGGGGCTGGTGGTGGACCCTGCACGTGGTAGTTCAGGACTACAAAGGAGTGTGAGGGTGACTGGTGGTGGGGCCCAACAGGGCAGCTCCCTCCGCAGCCCTCCAGTTAATTATTAAGTTTGCTAAATTCATCTCTCCTCCATCTACCTTCTTTTACTTGACAGCGCCTACATCTCTGTCCTCCTACAGCTTAGCTGTGACTGGCATTTTATCCTGCTAAGGTGTCTCCCACAGATACTGTGTTAAGGAATTTCCTCTCTCAGGATATCTGCATCTTAAAAGGGACCTCCTGAAGACCAGAAGGACCTCAAGGTCAAAAGGGGGGTTTTCTGGCTGAGCAAGAGGGAGGGAGGCCTCTAATAGCTATGGAGTGCCTATTCTATGCCAGACATTTTGTCCACTTTAAGGGTCTTGCTGAATCCTTACAGCATCTCTACAAAATAGGTATTTCATTTCCATTTTTTTTTTCAGATTATTCTTTTTTTTTATAGAGGCATTTTTTTTTTAATTTATTTGTTTATTTGTTTGTTTCTGTTTATACATGCGCTGGGTACAGTGAGAAGCGCGGGAGGGTGAGAGAATTCACCAGAGCCAGAGCGGGGAGCAGAGCAGGCAGACTGACAAAATACACTGCTGAAGGGAGCAGTGGGCACAGCAGGAGAGGTCTGCGTGCCACGTGGGACCCTCCTCCGGTGGCCGGAGAGCAGCCAAGGATGGAACCTGCGCCGCAGAGGCCGCAGACAGCTCCGCAACCCAGCGCTCAACCGGTGCGCAACCGGGGAGGCCCTCATTTCCATTTTGAGCAAGGATGAGAAGTTCACACTTTAGGTATCCACTGGGTTCCCAAGACACCGCAGTGAAAGATGAAAACATTCGAAAATGACAAGTAAACTTATCTGTGTTCAAAAACTATATATATATATATATATATATATATATATGATAACTATATGATATATATATATATATCAGTGGATAAGATACTCAAAAAACTTTTTATTTTGAAGGGCTGAGGAGCCACTGAAGATGGGAGCTAGTAAAGGGATTTCCCAAGGAGTATAAAAAAAGTAGATACTGCCCCCACACCCCACCCCCGTCTCCTACCCCCCACCCCCAGACCAGCACCTCTGGTGAGGCTGAACGTGAATACTAAAAGGAGCGGGCAGCTGGAAGCAAGCAGCCTGCCAGGACCTGGTCAGGCTGCCCACGGCTTCCGTGCTGGGCTGTGGGAACAGCCCCATTGTCACTGCCAAGCAGCTCATCACTAGCCCAGGCGTACCTGGCTCTGCACTTTGGGACCCAGGACCTGGGTGAAGGTGATGGAAAAATATCACTCATCAAGGGCAGGGTGTGGAGGTGAGGAGCAGGGAGAGGAAGAAAGAAACTCACTCCCACTCAAAGTGAGCATCCAAACCCCAATTCTAAATACCCGAGGAAAGCTGATGCTAAGAGAGACAAGCGACACAACCAACAGCTGGGAGTAGTCTCAGGTTGGGTGAAGAGGCGGTACTGAAGACTTTACCCAGAAAGATACGGCGGGAGCAGCTGGGAGCTCAGAGGGCGGATTGGGAGGCTCTACAATGTATGCGGCGCCAAGGAATGGCGGGAGAGCAACAGTCAGTGATAGCATGGCTGAGGATTTTCTGTAACAGCGCTTATTTTGTGGATGCTCATATTAAAATGTACACACAGTATCGAGCAAGATGAAGATTAAAAAAAAATCCCTATCTGCAGTGTGAGACACTTGCTCTCTCTTCCGGCTCATTTGTTCAAGAACCCTGTGCTATGTCGCTGCCCAGAGCCCAGCGTGCTGCTCTGTCTGGGCTCTGCTTCTGGTCCAGGTATAGTGAGGAAAGGTGGGTTTTGGGTTAGCAGATTCAGGTTCATGCCCCCTTCCCCATCTGTTACTGCCTCATAGTCCTCACTGAGCCTCAATTTCTTTTTTTTTTTTAAATAAAGATTTATTTATTTATTTATACAAGCACTGGGTACAGTCAGAAGCTCGGGAGGGCGAGAGAATTCACCAGAGCCAGAGCGGGGAACAGAACAGGAAGAAGGACTGAAGCACACTGCTGAGGGGAGCAGCGGGCGGCAGGAGAGGTCTGTGCGCCATATGGGGCCCTCGCCCAGTGGCCGGGGATCGAACTGGCACTGCAGAGGCTGCGGGCAGCTTCCCAACCCAGTGCTCAACCGCTGAGCCACTGCGGAGGCCCAAGAGCCTCAATTTCTTTCCCTAGAATGAGGTCAGAACTAAAATACTAGAACCTTAGCAGCAGAAGGGACTTTGGGAGTGGCTTCATCACAGCAGAACATGCTACACCTGATTCCTCAACAACCCGGCCAGCTAGCTTGGTGCCCACAGGTTACCCAACCTCCCGTGTTTCCATTTCCCCATCAGTAAAAGAGGATATTAATAGCCCCCTCCGGTGGGGTTGCTGAGGGTGAAATAAATTCATACATGTAAAGAGCTTAGCATGGTGCAGGCACACATCCAGTGGGAGGGAATTCCCACTAACACTCCACACCCTGGCCATAACAGAGAGAACCAGCCCACTGCCGCCTCCGCACTGTGAAAACAGTCGAGTCAGTGGGCTGCCCCAGACCACCCTTCTCCTTGGCTACCCGGTAGGTCATCCCTGACCTCCAGAGATCCCCTCCCACTGAGCAAACACGAACTTCCCCAAATGCATCACCCCCATTCCACCCCCACGCTGTTGCCTTGGGCACCCTACCTCTCTCTGCTCACTGCAGATCTTACACAGCCACAGGGGCCGCTTCTGGCCAGGGGAGGCCTCGATTCCACATTTGGTGCAGACTTTCTGCAAGAGAGAGGACATGGGAAAGTAAATATTTCAGTCGCCTTCCTTTTGCTTGAGGGGCTGGGAAAACAATAACTAGGTACTCTTTGGCATCATCCAAGGGGATGACTGTTTTGCTTCAGGCTAGAAGACAACCCAAAGGGCACGATGATCTAAAACCTATCGTTTTGGCCCACACACAGATCTTATGATGCAGGCTCACCCCCACAATTACATTCTGTTAGGATCACAGCTGCATCATGTTCAGTAGCAAAGGACTGGAAACAACCCAAAGGCCTAAGACCAGAGGAAGATTCAGGCAAACTTAGCAGAATATGATATGGCCTAACATAGTGTGTGTGGATCCCTGGAAATATGGGTGGAAAATGATGTTATTCAACAAAGAAGACATTGCCATGCAAAAAACTCGCATATGTGCTTGACAAGGTGAGATGACATAGTGAGAAACACCAGTCAGAGTAGGAGCACTCGATTTATGCCAAGCCCCTTCATTTAGCCACCCCCGGAGTGCTACTGTACAAGCATTAGGCCCATTTTACAGGTGCAGAAGCAAGGGAGAAGCGTGAGAATCTGCCCAAGTTCACACACAAGCAACAGACTCAGGTGTGACCGCAGACGTGGTTATAGCATTTTCTCCAGACACTTCCATAGCCAGAATCTAGTTTTGGCACTGTTTTTCTTCTACAGAATTGCTTAAGCTCCTGCGTGTAAATACATATTTTGCTTCCCTGAAATGCACAGCCACACACGGTGGTGGGAAAGGTCAGATGAAATGCAGCCGGAGGCAGAGGGGGACGAGCTGGCCCTAAGGTTTGTCCCCCATAACCCAGGCAGTCTGATTCAGCAACAGCGTGTCCTCCTCAGAGAACTGTCACATCAGCTAATCAATCTTCCTGCCATGCAGAGGCGGTACGAACCCTGCAGGGCTGGGGGTTCTCTCCCGCCCTCCTCCCGACCCCCTAAGGGGAGGCTAGATTTGTTGCTTGGCCTTTTCTGCAGGCTGCCAAGTGAGCAAGGAGCACACCTCTCAGAGGAGAGGGAAATGTCACCAACTTGGCTTTCCAGAGCATGTCGTCACCACCTGATTGGGCGGCTGAGCCCAGTGATGAAGGTGGCAGGGAGCCAGCTCAAGGCAGAAGGGAAGCGGATACATTCATGGGGGTATGCATTAGCTACCATCCAACACTCAGCCATGAGAAATGTCATTTTTCTTTAATTTCTCCAAATAAAATGTAATCTGCTCCCATCACCCGTCTCTCTGGGTTGATAGGAAGTCCATCCCCATCACAATTAGGGCCTTTCCCCAGCTCTTGTGCATTTCCCAGGTTTGGGGTATTCGGCTGTCATGGTCCCTTGGAGGAGAAAAGGGCTGACCACTCCTGTGCCAGGCTGGGGCTCAGCCTCTCCAGGGCCAGCAGCCTGTCCTCCCGGAGCAGTCACTCCTGACTGGTCCAGTGTGGGGTAGGAGATGGGGGTGGTATGGAGGGGGCAGTATCTACTTTTTTTAAACTCCTTGGGAAATCCCTTTACTAGCTCCCCACTAGAGATATCTTGCTTTCTCCCTCTCACTGACCCCAACCTTCTACCTCTAGGATAGGGTCCCCTGTAAGCCCACAAGGTGGGCCTCAAGAACCACCCATGGGCTTTTCCTCTCTGGAGTAGAGAGGAAGGAATCACTGAAGCCAGTTCACTGCTTTTCTTGCTAATTCCCACTATCCCCTGTAAATGCTGTGTGTGAAAAAAGGGTGGCTGTCTCAGAGAGGTGAGACTTTCCTGCGGCAAGTTCTACATGCTTACAGATCTTGATGACAGCTTGCCCTCTAAACACAGAGAGCTCTGTCCCTTATGAGATGATGGAGCTGGGTATGAAGAAGGGACAAAGCCCCATTTATTGACCAAGTGTGTGTCAGGCACGTGACCCTGCCAACAAAGAATGAAGTAGGTGGGTCGCAGATTAAGAAATTGGGGCTCAGTGATGTTAAAGATGGCTTGAGGTCCCAAAGCCAGTTAGTGATGGTCAGGATGCAGGAGGCTCCCTTCTTTCACACCTTGGGAGAGCTGGATCATGCCCTCCCTGCTCAGGTGCCAAGCTGATGCTCACGGCCCTCAGGAAGCTGGCTGAGGTCTTTGGGAATGTGGCTGATTTCAACATGAAAGACCCGGGGACAAGGTTTTGCTGTTGGGGGTGCAGCTGCACATGCTCGTCAGGTCCATGATACCAATTCTTCCAGAAACTCTTTGGGTTGGGGAATCTGGCTCTGCCCTCTGTGCTACTTCAAAGAGGGAAGGAAAGAGGTTTCCAGCTCCAGACAGGGAGCCTGGTCCAGTGGTCTTCCCACCGATACGCCTTGGCTTCCCCGCAGCCTGCCCTCCCTCTTTGTGGCATTCCTGCCCCACAGATTCAGCCAAGAGGTGTGTGTAGGGGGGTAAGACTCTGTCCATCTTCATCTGCTTAGGCCGCTATGAACAAAAGGCATAGGCTATTCAGGGGTTTAAACAACAGAGGCCTGTGTCCCACAGTTCTGAAGGCTGCAAGTCCCAGGTCAGGGTGCAGCCTGGCCCGGTTCTTGGTGAGGGTCCTTTACAGACAGCTGCACCCCCACTGGAGAGCATGAGCTCTCCGCTAAAAAGAGTACCAGTCCCGTTGAGGAGCACCATGCTCATGATCTCATTTAAGCCTAATGACCTCCCAAAGGCTTCACCTCCAAATACCATTCAGGGGCGGTGAGGGCTTTAACGTATGGTTGGGAGGAGGGACAAAGAACAAGAAATTGGGTGCCTTCCTCTGCTTCTACACAGAGGGAGCCCCAGCAAGGGGCACTTCATCAGCTATCTCGACCATGGAATTCCACTTCACACCATCCTGTACTGTCACCAATTTTATGTCCCAGAAACACTGTTCTGAGTCCATTCAGAGGCAGCGCAGCTTGGTGTTCGGGGCACAGGCTTTGGAGTGAGTCAGGCCTGGGAGGGCCCTCGGACAAGCTTCTCAAAGCCCCGATCAGATGTCCTCATCTGTAAAGTGGGATTCTATCCCGAGATACACAGAAAAGCAACGATGTGTTAGAAGCACTTGTATATGCCAGTGGTGATTATTACTGACCACACCTTGTACTCTGTTCTAAAACCTTGCATGATTGTCCCGTATCATCTAAGTCATCAACTGCAGGTGGCTATTTAAGCTGAAGTTAGTTAGAATTACATAAAAGGAAAATCTCAGTTCCTCGCTCACACTAACCACATTGTAAGTACGCAATAGCCTCATACCAGGGCTGCTGACTATTGTACCGGCTGGCACGGAAACGGCACACCTCCACCATTGCGGGAAGTTCTGGTGGACGGTGCCGGGTGGAGGACCCAGCCCTCCTTTGGGCGCTTTAGGACTCGCCGAAGGTTTCAGAGTCTGTTCTCCCACAGCGCCCTCCCTCCCCCAAAACGCCCTACTTCCGAGACTGAGGTGCTCCCTCGCCAGCCTGCTTTGTTCCACCCACCCCATCTGATCTCACCCACCCTCTGAGCTGCTGATTCTGTAGTCATTGCCCACTGTGTGCCCACGGCCCTGGGTTGGGAGGCTGGGGCCCAGGCCTCAGGTGTGCCCAGCGAGGAACCGCATGTTTGGTCACAGAGCAGCCTGCCAAGTCTGAGGGGGTGCCTGGCGACATCATAGGCCTAGTCTTTAAGCGAGGTTTGGCGAATGGGCATCCACATACCTTGATAAGCATGCCTGATTATCTGGACATCTATGCTGTTGTGGGACGGAAAAAGCTAGGAGAGAATGCAGAAAAACCATGTCCTGTCTTCTACCCACAGACCATGGGACACAGAACCAGTGAGCCTGGGGATAGGAGTGGGGTCCAGTCACCTTCCAGAGGCTGGGTCAAAGGTCTCAGGGTCAAAGGTTGGCCCCCAACTTCCTAAGGGCGTTTGATATGTCCTAAACATTCCCTCTACCCCTTGCCCTGTGGGGGCTGTGAGGCATGAGGAGGTGGTCTGACAGGACACTCCAGCCCTGGCCCTACCATCCTGTTTTCAGGCTACAAGCCATCACTGGTGAAATCCACGGTCAGTTCCCACCATCAGCCAGTCATCTTCATGCACCTGCTGGCTGGGGATTGAGGCCAGCAAAATGATAACATGTTCTAGTTCAAATAATACGTAATTGCAGCTCTATTTAGATCAGTAAGACAATAATGAACCTTTCCTCCTTATGGGCTTGGTCAGTGTTCCTAGGTTCCATTAAAGAAAATTAAGCAGGTGGTAATTAAAAAGCCAGTAAGAGAGAGGGTGAGCCAGTTGTGGCATCAGCTTGGTGCAGCAGGAACATGGCGTGTCGATCGGAACACCCCTGGGGTCTAAAGCTGCCACTTGCTGCCCTGTCTGGCGTGGGTTTCCACTGAGCCCTTGCTCTGGGCGAGCGAGTGCAGGTTTTCCAGGCTTGGCTGTCTCATGCTTCCTGCAGCCTGGAAGTGTGTCTAAGCATTAAACAAGCCAAGTCTGGCTTCTGGGCCTGACTCGGAGCAGAAGTGACAAAACTCCGGGCCCTCGGCCCACACGTGCGCTCTCCTCCCTCCATGCGTTTCTTGTACAAATGTTCATCCCAGCCCAGGAACCCGAGGAAGGGGTGGCTCAGGGTTGCCCACGGGACATAGGCTTTGGGACGGAGGATAGCAGTCTACCATTTGGAAGTAAATTGGGACTTGTTGCTCACCTCTGAGCCTTATTTCTTCATTTGTAAAATGGTGACAACAGGTAGTTTCAGGCCACAGGTGGGAGGATCAAGAGAAATGACTTACGAAAAGTGGCTCAAACAGAGCTAGCACAGTACATGGAAAACACTGGACAAGCACCCCGGTCCTTCCCCACAAGTCTGACTGCATGAAGGATGCCAGTGCCCATCAGTTATCAAACAGAATCACCCCTGATCCTCAAGCTCCCTCATTCTCACCCTAATAATCCAACTCCAAGACTCTAATTCTCATACTGTCAGTTCCTCTCCATCC